CCTGCTGAATCCTACTGAAAACAACTTGCTTGTTCAGGGAATTGGAAAAAATCCTAAGACAGTCCATGTTCCAAAGTGTTTTGATATGGGTTACTTGATATTTTCACAACAAAGGAAAAAAGTCATGGGATTTAAACTTAAAATTGGCTATTTTTTTATGATTGCAAGATTAGGAGAAAACATTTCTCATTCTGGTTGTTCCGTAGCTCCCTGTTAGAGGATTCCTTGCCATTTTGCCAATAGCAGCCATCTAGAGACAGAAGATAGGACTAAACAGAGCCCCGTCTGGCAAGTCCTGCTTTCTGTGATACTCTGCTTTGCTTTCTGAACAAATCCCCCTACCACTTTCCCCAAAGCTCATTAAGTGAGACTGGAGAATTAACTTTTTAGCCAGCTGCTGAACTTTTCATATTTATAAACACTTGAGTCTTTTGCTTATCTAAGAGAAAATGTGTATAGTTTGGAGATGTGCACTTCCCTGCCAATGTGTAATGAGTGGTTCCACACTTCATAGAAAAAAAGCCTGAAGTTTCCTGTCACAGCTGAATGCCGATGCCAAGGGCAAAGGTTTCTTGCCTTGCTAATCTACATCTTAACTCATGCACTTAATATGAAGGTGCCACACACAAACAGGCAGGGAAGAAGCTAGCTGCAGTGAAAATCTCCTGCGCTGTTGTGAATGTTATGTTTTAAAAGCCTTTTTAATGTAATATTTGAGGTTATGATAGAAGCCAGGAGGGCCAAAGTAAAACCCTCAAAGTAAATGAGTCCTGTCATTGCTGCCTCATGAAAAGAGGGTTTGTACGAGGATAACATGAGTCCCAGTGGAATACCTGGGGGATGGGTTGAGAAGGTGCAGGGGAGTTTGCAGCATTTGTTTTAGCCTAATCTTTATTTCTGGAACTGTTTAGATGGCATCTAGAATATGGATCCTGTCTGGAGGCACGGGCCAGTCTTGGTGGATGGTCTGCTCAGTTTTTACACATTTGAGTCGATGAGCTATAAATATTCGAAGCTTGAACATCCAAGAATATACACTACCCTCCTCCTCGGTCTGTTTAGCGCTGAAGGGGCAGTGCTCATAGCAGCTGGAAGAGCTGGAGCACAGCGAACGCCGTCCTAACTCTTCTGCTTCTGCCTAGGTGCTGCGGGTGCTGTGGCCTGTGAGTGCTCCCAGCGTTCTGGCCTCCAGCTGAGCAGACTGCAGTGGGGGGCACAGCGGGTGAGTGGACCAGGCTGGAGCCCAGGCTTCCAGAGGTTTTTTTTTTCTTTTGTATGTCTTGACTAATATCGAGTGGTTACTACCAGGCTATTTCATGGCATCAGAGTTGAGGGGATCGTAGCTCTCTTGCCTTGAGGGAAAGATACAGGGTGTTTTTTTGTTCATACCGTGAGCCTATAAAAGGACGTTGGTTTTGAAACTGAGCTAACTTTTTGTTGTTGTTGTGTTTTGTTTCTTCCAGTGCTTTGGGACTCTTCTTTCACCCTTCAGCTTCATTATGGAAAACATTGAGGTCCTCCTGCTGTCCAGTCTCTGGCATCAGCCGACTCCGGTGTGACTGGAGTGTTCTTTCCACGATCGTTCAATGTTGTTGTTCTCACGAGCCTCGCCCCTGGTGGTTAGCTGACCCCTAGACGCAGGGAGCAGGGAAGAAAGCTGTGCTATTCAAACTGATATCTTTGACAGGCTTCCATGTTGGTAATAGTGCTTAACGTATGAATTTCTTCTTCGGCCTTGGTCTGTAATCATCTAAGAAAATAGTTTTTGTTGAGCAATACTTTATTGCTCTCTTAATCACTTGTACAACTGGAAGCTAATACTTCCTCTGTAAGAAAGGAGAGGACACAAACTGAGCAGATGTTTGGAGTATTGACACTTCCTTCTTAGCTGCAGGTACACCAGATAATTGGCTTAGATTTAATTTTATAAGCCTTTTTCAAAATATTTGTTAACAGCCAAATATGGTTCTGCTTTCTTTATTAAAAGGTTGCTTCTTAACACATTGAATTTGTTGACTTCTTAAGCGTCTATTTAGTATAGATTAGTGCAAACAAAGATTTCTTTCTTCTGTATCCTATAAGCTTGCATTACACAAGGAAATGGTAGCATAAACTCCTCTATTTCATACTGTTACCTCTTTATACTTAATTGTGCATCTTTTGTCTTTCAAACTGCTTTTCCTTGAACCGGATGGTTTCTGATGAAACTGCCAGAAGTGGCTGTCATATCTGCATGGGAGTCTGGGAGACCTGAACTTTCTAGTGTTAGTCCAAAGTACTGTCATTGTTGATATCAAGACTTGAAGAGAACCGAGATGTGAGGCACTCTTCAAAGGAATTGCTTCATGTATGGACCAGCTACAAGGGTTTGTTTACTGCAAAGGTGAAAAGATAGCTGTGGCAGCCAAGTGGTTTGCAGTAATTGGTGTGACCTCCATTTCCACTCTCCCCCATTAGAGAAAATGTCTACTTTTTCACACTCAGGTCTGCTGCTCGGCATTGAGGAAGCGGAGTCATGTTAGCCAAGGCTTCTTAAAAGTGGAAGGGATAAAAAGAGCCTGGGCTTGTGGATAAATGCTGATTCTAAGCACACGAAAAGTTGTCCGTCATCTTATATTTTACAGATAAACGCGTATACTTACCTGTAATAACCAGGAAGATTTTACATGTTTAATCTTCAGTGATCTTTGTGAAGGATGTTGCCATGATGTTGATGGCTTCTTTCAAAGGTGTTGTAAATTATTCTAGTTTCTGAATCCTGGATGGAAGAAGCTTGCTGTAGCCTACTCTGAAACAATACCTAAATCAATCAGTTACAGGTCAATTTGAGTTGACCTGTAATCTATCTTGATGCAGAAGACTGAGAATGATTTTTCCTTTTTTTTTTTTTTTTCCTAAATCCTACTTTACGTTGTAAACAAAGTACTATGAAGTGGACAGTTGCCTTTGCATCTCATTTAAGGGTAACTTATTTGTAACGCTGGCTGAGAGGAAACACACATGTTTAGGTAGAAATGCCATTGTTACTCTCCACTGTATATTTCTATTGGCTGGGCTTTAATCCAAGTTAAATACTTGAATTCATTGAGGAGTCAAGAGGAGAGCCCTACAGAAAGGTACTACCAAGTTTTTTTGAGTTGCCTAACTACTAGTAGGTAATTTTCTCAACTTTCCTTCCAGTTGAGTGTATGTCATTGGGGCTGTTTCTCACTGTGGAATCATTGTGGTGATTAATAGATATGTTGTGTTCATGTAATTCCACTTCTTGGTTTGCAGGGGCCCATAAGGTAACCAACCTAATGCTTTTTAAAGTTGAACATTTTCCAGCATTTGTGTGGGGTTATAAATGAAGCACTGCCTCCCATGTATCATCCCAAGAGCTGCTTTCTTTCACTGTCCTCCCCTGACATAACAGTAACAGAAAGGGGATGGGCTTATGCTGAAAGTATAGCTGGCAACAGGCTATGTAATGAAAATCTTCCTATCTCTGTAGAAGTGCTAGTAACTCTTGAGGAAGGAGGACCTCTCTGTGTGATTTCCTAGCGGGATTGTTCATGCTTTATAGGAGCATTCATTTGCCACTTAGGAGCAGGGACTTACCGCCTGATCCATACTGTAGTAATACCATATCAGTCCACAGGAAATTAAGTTGCATGCGTGTGTGTGTAAAAATATATATATATATGAAAAATTAAAAAATTACAATTATGTCTCAGGACAGATAGGTGTTGATGGTTGCCATTTCCCCAAAACATGTGCTATGGCGACCTTAGAGCCTTTGGGATGGCAAAAGCCTTTCCATGACACTGTGTGTGATGTTAGTAGACTTACCAAATTTTCATTTCATTCAGAGTAGCCAGTCAAAGTCAAGGAACTTGAAAATCTGCATTTATTTATATACCTGATGCTAATGTATATTTGTAAAACAGAGTAGTTATAGTCTCTTTGATTCATTTAGGCAGAATTTGAGTTTGGAGTGGGTTTCGTTTGTTGGGGGTTTTTTTGTTGCTCGCAGTGTCTCACTATGTCGTGACAGATTAGTTTTTGATCAGAATGTCCAGGAAGAGGAGTGCTGTATTTCTTCCTACCAACCTCTTACTTTTCCAGAAGTAATCTCCAAATTAGGACAGGAAGGGAGAGAGGGAAGTGTTATCATGGATAGTAAAGCTATTGTTTGTGAGGCAATTAGGCAACTAAATTCTTGTGTGAATTTGCCCTATCTTACCACTGATTTTAATTAAGTGTCTAAAGATCTGTGTGGATCAGGACTTTTATTGCATATGCATCTAGAGAGATCACACAAGCATGATTTTGTTATATTGTTATCGAAATGACTTTCTACTGTTGCTTGAGTTTACATGAAGTATTTGGAAGTTAATACCTAAATGCTATTGCCTATTTGATGTCACTTAGACACGCTGATGCTTTGAGACTGACAAATGTCCATCAAGTGTACTATTCCTATACACCTACTTTATCTGTGGAGTTAATAAGTGTGGAGGAGTGACTGCAACGGCTCCAGTCTGTAACTGGCCCCTTGGTACAAGCGGGAGCGTTTCAGTCCAGTGTATGCTAACGGTACGGTGGGTGCTACCAGAGGGCTGCTGTGGCCGGTGCCAGCTGCCTGGGGAAGGATGTGAGAGCAAGCCAAGCCTATGCATGTCTCCAGAGTCCTCTCCAGTCACTTGTGTCACAGAGCCATCTCCTCCTGAGATGGTGACTTTGTACTGAACAGCTTTCAAGGGGTAAAACTTTCCACTGGCTATTGGCACTATTATAATAATAATAAAACTCTTAGAGTAGCAGTGAGGCAGTTTAGACTAAGAAATATATCTGGGTAACAGGGTCTGCTTGTTGGCTTATAAACCACATCAGAATTATCCTCTGGGGAGTGAGCCCTCTTGCAGTTATTTACCATGGCGCGAGTCCTTCGTTCTTTGAAACTGGGGATAGATGCATGTGTTACTAGCTTTTACACATGTATATATGTGGCAACAGGACTTTTCATGCTGTCGGAAACCCTGGACAGCGAGGTTATGTTGACAAATTCATATGGAGATGGTCACCTCTTAGCCCTGCCTGCTGCACTGGAGTGGTTCTCGGTCCAGGTTTGTCGCAGGCCGGTTCCCTTCCCGCATCTCCTCCAGCACTGGCCAGGCTTGTTTATTCCCGGCTCCTTGTCCTGGAATTGTTGTGAGGGTGCCAAGGCTCGTAGATCCATGACTCTGAGCAAGGCAGGGTTTAAAGGTCATAGTCAAGACCATTAATAACAAAGTGCAAACGGCTGGTTTATATGTAATGTGAAGCTTTTTACTTATTTCATTTTTGCACTTTGGGGGCTCTGTTTGCTTATGGAGCACTTGGTGTCTGGTACCTATTTAGGCTGAGAGCAGGCAATTGGGTTCCTTCAGGCCTTCGGAGGAATGCAGAAAATTGTTCTCTGGTGTTGTAATTCTGCTGGGATAACTGGAGCTTATTTGTCTCACTGCTTATTAAATGCATACTTGTCTTGAGGTCCTCTTTTTTTTTCTGAGAAACATTGGGTGAATCCCAAGGACCACAAGTGAGAGGAAGATTCCAGAGGGAGGGGGAGAGAGAGAAGTGCCTGCACCTTTCTACAAACTGCATCATCCGCCTCCAGTGCCAGCAGGCTTTAAGAGGTGAAATAGGAGAGCAACCTCCCATAGAGAAAAGGAGGCATACGTACAGGGCTCCTACAGACATAATTTTGCCCTTCCCCCTGCCCATGGATGACACACTGAGGGGAGATGCACCTCCCAAACTACTGATGCATGGGGTGTGTGGTCGGGAGCCACGGGAGGCTGTCCTGAGGTTTCCAGATGGGAACAGCTGTGGAGGTAGGGAGCAGATGTGCACTGGGGCTGTATTCTTAGCAGAGGACAGTACTGGTTGCATTGGCAGAGAGAGCAGATGGGGTTCATACTGAGTAGTATCCAGCTTGCCCCATTTTGCTGGTAAAAAGGACAGACTGACTTCTCTCTTCCCTCTGCTGCAGTTATGTATGGCTGCATAGGTGATGTGTGAGCTATTCTGCTTACGGGTCAAAAATCCTTAAACATCAGGTCACATTGACAGTAGCAATCATAGTGGGATTCTATGTGCAGTCTCCTGTGGTCTGAATTCTCCCAACTTTTAATAAAGGTGGATAGAGAGGACCTAAGGCAGCTTCAGTTTCCAGCTCTGGCTCTGGTCTCCTGGCCCCCTCCTCCCTTTCTTGATGCTCCTAAGTGGGGTGTGCTCTGCATGCCCCAGCCCTTAGCACTGTAAGAAGACGATGGTGATGAGAGATGCTGCTCATGTGCTTGGAATTTTCCTCATTTCCAGCTTCAATTGTTGTATTATGCTTTTTGGTAGGCCCTTTGAGTCTGGTCATTAGGGAAAGCTAGGTAACACACCCACACTTACTGCATCGGTAGGGGTACATCCATGAAGATGAGTGTTTCTCCATTGGGGATCTTGCTCTGGTTATTTTGGCCGATGACATTTTCCTTTTACTCTGGATGCATTGAATTGTGCCATCATAGCGTGGCCTCATCAGCTCAGACCCTTCTCTTAAGAACCTCTTGATTTCTTTTCTGATTTGGCTGTAGGCTATCATCAGTTATAAAACAGTGTGACACAGTATGTGACTATTGCATTCTCCTGCATTGACTCATCAGCTGAGATTCCAGAGCAGTAACCCCCCTGCTGCTAGCTGGAGCAGCCCTCCATGACTGGGCTTCAGTAATAAGGGATCTGAAAGCTCCCACTCAGATCTTGACAGGTTATGCAAATGTTAGTCAAAATGCCCCAATAAATCTGTCCCTGAGAGCTGGACCTGTTACAGCAGATGACCCCCATAGAGCACGCTGTCATTGGCACAGGTACCCGAGCAAAGCCTTTTGCACATGTACGGACGCAATGGTGAACAACAATGGCCTGCGGCAGCGACGAGGAGGTTTTAGGACTGGGGCGTAGCTGAGCAGTGTATACACTCTGCATTGCTGGGGCTCAAAAACTTACATCGATCTTATCACTGCATCCATCCAGAAAACCTGGGCTAAAGCGCACTCCCACTCAAATGTGGCTTAGTAGAGAAAATTACCCTGAATTTATGTGGATCCCGTGTTTCCAATGCCTTGTGCCTCCTCCTATGCGTCCTGTCCACCTTCTTCAGAAGCTCATTAAGCAATTAATTCTGCTCCTTGTCCTCGAGTTCAGACATGCTTTTGACTGGAGGATAATTAGAAGATGATCTTGCATAAAAGGCTTCCTGCACGTTTTAGGCAGATGACTTGAGGGGCTCGAGAGAGGAACCGAGTGTTCCTGATGAGACTGCAGCCTTCATAAACGTTTATAGATGGAAAACATCTGCTTGCTGAGGATGAGTGTGCTGAAAGGGAGCTTCGGTAGGGCTCATCTGCAGGAAGACGTAGACCAGCCTGAATTTCCTTCAGCCTGCAATGGGATGTCGTCTTGCACAAGCACTGGGAATTAGCTCTAACTAACCAGTGTATTTCTGATTCCCAGGCATTGGGCTTTTGCTAATTGCTTGCTAATAAACAAGAAGCGAGCGTAGTCTCGCATAGCCCTTTGCAGAAGAAACGCTCGCCTCTGCTGTCGGGTAGACTCGAGCTTGTCCGGCTGTCTCCACGACTGCTTCTCCAGCTGCTTCTGTAATACTGGTACCTGCTTCCAAGCGTTTGTACTCCTCTGGTTTGCTGTGGTGCTGTCACGGGAGAAGGCAGCCGGGCAGGGCGTCCGTGGGCTGTGGCGAGTTGCCTTCTTGGCTATGGTTATTCTACAAACTGCTGAAGGCATCCAGTTTTAGTATCTTGGTGATGGTACTGGAAGGGGGGAAGCCAATAAACCCGAGACCACCTGTCCTTGGGAGTTTTCTGCTTTGTTTTAAAATGTTGAACATCTGCATTCAAAGGGAGGACATATTTTGGCAGCAGCCATTGATTAAGGTGTCATTCATCAGGTAGACCTACAGATCTGCTACGAGCGGTCTTTCTGCTGGAAGACACCTCCCAGGGGTCCTCCGGAGAGGAAGAAATGTTTATTGACGGCTGACCCCGGCTCCCTCCCAGCCCATGGAGCGTGTCCTGCTCTGGGAGGGAGGCTTGGATTGATTGCTAAGGGGGCAGCATTTTTTTAAAGTGTGTCGTAAATTGATGGTAGGTGGAGCAGTAATGAAGATAAATGAGGGAGCTCTTCCCGGTAGATTAGCCTGCATGCTGATGGACGCTGTGCTACGGCAGGCTTGAAATGCTTTTGGCCTTTCTCAGACCTCCCGCTCACCTGCCAGCATTCCTTGGCACAGCCGAGACGCAGCAAATCTTCGGGGAAATCATCTCTCCTTGAAATTCAAAGGGCTTCGAAGGGCCGGGGGTGAGACCTGGGAGCCTCACAGGTAAACACCAGCTTGAGTGCAAGTTCTGCAAGAGCAGAGAGGGTGAAAGGTGCTGCTCAGCCCTCTCCTGCTGTCAGTACAGGATTCAAAAGGGAGATGGTTTAATTCTGTAAGAAAAGGGTTGGGCAGCGGGGAGGTGGGATTCCTGTGACTGTTGTAAGAGCTCTGCTAAAATATCACTTTTTTGCTGCTTCGTGGCTCTAGAGCAGCTCTGCTGAAGGTCCTTTTTCTGCATGAGCAATCTCAGTGGTCTGGCACAGAGTAAGGTGCTCTAATCTGGCCCATGACAGACTTCAAATTCTTTGAGGAGTTCCCATCAAAGCAGTTTTCAAAGTGGCTTCCTCTCACCACTTAAACTAGTATTTCCTAGGGCCATTGGGTAAAATCCCCATTCAGAGATACTCTTCATGCAGTAGCCGATGGGTGGCTTAGGACCAGAATAATCTTCTTTGCCTTAATCCCATCCTGCTCCTTTGACCTTCCTTCAGACGTTGCCGTTGTAGCCTGCTCAGCTCCCTCTGCCCACACATCTCGCGGCTGCCAGGAGAAAACCCTGACTCCTTGGAGAGATTTGAGAGCCTCTCGAGCAGCAACAGCAGTGCAAAAGCAGCGTTAAAAGTATTTACAGGGAAGTATTACTGTTAACTTGTCCTTTCCCATCGTTGTAAGCTTGTAACTTTCATGAAAACTTGCTTTGGGTGTGTGAAATGTCCTTACCTGCCCATCAGCATGGTGATGCTCAACAAAACGGTCAGTGTTTCTCCTGGGTCAGGGAGGAAGCCCAGCCTGCCCAGGGCAAAGGGCAGCCGAGCTCTGGGAGGGAGGTGTAGCAGCACCCCTATCAGCTTCAGCGTCTGCTCAGGAATTGCCATGATTAAGGTACAATTTTTATTTTATTTTTTTTTTTAACCTGGGTCAATTTAGTTTGCAGGTTCAAGTGTCTTGTACATTAAGTCTGTTTGTGTGGATTGGTACCTTTTGACCACTCTCTAGAAAATACCTGTACACTAAATAAAGCATCTTTGTAATCACTGCTTGTGCACGTTGGGGGGGGGAAAAAGGATTGAGGAAATCGGTGGAGATGAGAGGGGTTGATCTCTGTAGTGTATCTACTGACAGCTCTGCAGCTGCCTGCCCCTCCTCTCATCAGCTTCAATTGTAGTTGGTAGTTTAAGTTTCAGGAATTGGTTTTTTGTTTGTTTGTTGTGTTTTTTCTTATCGGAAAGGTTTGGAAGCTCATCCAGCATCTCCTGCTTGATGCAGTGCTTGTCATGAGATGTCCTGGAGCGTGCTACTGCTTGTGAAGGATTCTCCTGGGGCTTTGCACGCTGGATGCCGTGGCTCTGCTTTGTGAGAAACAACAGGGAACTCCCGGGGGGGGAGGTCTGTGCTTTAGGACTGCGGGAGCCGCAGGCAAGCAGGCAGAAGACATGCTGCGGGCTGATTCCCTCTCCCACTAATTCCAGAAGTGCCCATCTGGGTGTGTCGGCATTCAAAAAGCAAAGAATGTAATTTTCTGATACAGGTTTATAATGAATTTTGACTTAAAATAATAAGCAGTATACACAACATACAAGTGAGTTTTACAGAGCCACTGTTGTATCTGTTGACTTCAGAACCTACCACTAAATTCACAGATTTTTGTTTGCTCTCTCTAGCCCTCTGGGTCGGCCAGCATCTAGGGGTGGCCCTTGTCTTTGTGCAGTCATTCGGGTTTCAGTTCCAATTTACAGCTCCGCTTGCCACCTTCGCTGGGGAGAAGCCTCGTGCAGAGGTTGCTCTGGCTCAGCGGGGTCGGCAGCGCGGCCGGGAGCGGTGTGCCAGCTCTGCTCGAGGGCAACGCAGAGATCACGGAACTGTCTTGCGGATTTGCAACACCCTTCCTCTGGCCTTGAAAAAAAGTAAAAGCAAGGATGCTTTCTGCAAGAGTGGATTATTCTGAACTAGTGTTTTTCACTGGTGAAACTTTACTGCAATGTAAATTCTCTGGGGGAGATGCAGATTTCCTCAGCCATCGCATCCTGATGATCAGTCCTCCAAGTCCGTATAGGTTGCACCGTCCCTTGGCAGAGAGAACATGGGCAACGGCAGTTTCACAGTTTAAGCAAGGTTTGCAGACTCCTCCTAGGTAGGGGATTAGTTTTGCTGAGCAAATAGAAGGGTCCACACTACCTCCTGGGAAATGTAGTCCTTTCTTTAGTGCTTTGCAGAATTAATTAAATAAAAGCCATGCAATTGAACTACAGCTCCCAGAACGTCATGGCCCTCGGGGCACAGAGTTTTAAAAAACTGCAAGGGGGGGTGGCAGTGGATTCTTCCCTCTGTGCTCCCACCTCCTCAGGTCTGGTCCAACCACTCGGCCCGTTTCGGCGCTTTACACGTGTGCACGTCCACAGTGTCCTCGCACTCCTTGCAGCGCACAGCGCAGCACCAGTGGAACTTGCACTCGCACTTGGTGATGCGAGTGACGCGCGTGGTGTCGTACCCCCGCCCGCAGCACATCACCTCGCAGCCGTCCGTCCCGCGGGACATCTTGTTGCACACGCGACCGGCCGTGCCCAGGGAGCCTGGAGAAGGAAGCGAGAGCGGGTCAGGGTGTTCCTTCTCCATCGTGTTCAAATGCTTCCTCCACCCCCCGCCCCACAGTTGGTAGCAGCGGTAAGATCGGGCATCTACTGTCTGCAATGGGTTTCCACCTTAGCAGTGGTGAGATCTTGTCGTTTCTGTCACAGCGTGGCCTCCAAAGGCTGGGCACAGGCTGCGGGGAAGAGGTGGCGGAGCCTGTGCTTGCTTTGCTTTAAGGGCATGGGTTGTGGCATGGGTAGCAAGCGTGGCCAGCGGTGCAGCTTTGGTGACCCTCTCTCTGCATGGCCCCTTCCCCACGCCTGCTACTGGAGCCTGCACCCGCGGCTGCCCAGAGTGCAAGAGCAGGGGCGGACGAGGATGGGCTCCGTGCTGGGGGGCTCTGGAGCAGTGTATGCCTGTCAAGCCAGGCTTTGCAGCTGGCAAAGCTACGAATGGCCCCTCGGCTTCGGCTAAGGGCTCACTGAAGGGCGGCGGGAGCACGTGCTGCCTTCCCCAGGGCTACTGCGAACCCCTGACTTGGGGATGCTCCAGGCTGGGAAACCATTGACCTTCTCTGCAGGAGCCGAGCAGCCCTGACACCGCCTTCCCCGCTCTCATCCCAGCCTCGGGATGTGTCCAGAGGAGAAGCCGGCAGCCTGCGCATGAAATGGGCTCTTTATTGCCTATTTAAGGGAGCTTTGCTCTGCAGGAGAAAGGGTCTGAGGAAATGCTGTGCTACATTCGTTACAAGAGGCCTGATGGGTTTGGATCTTTGGTGTAAAACCTGGGGATTTTGGACAAACCTGGTCGGGTCTGTGCAGGTGTGAGGTGCTGTGGGGACCCAGTGCTCCAGCGAGCACCGACACCTGCTGAGGGCCTGGGTGACCCCCCCCACAGCGCAACCCCCCCACTGGGGACTGGGGTTCGGTGGGAGAGCCGACATCCCAAAGCAGCCCTGCCGGGCTGGGCTCGTTGGGAGCTGCTGGCCTGTCGGGAGGGGAGGAAGAGCTGCTTTTGGGTAAGGACTGGAGCTTTGGCTTTTACCTGCTGACTTGTCCATCACGCAGTAATCAGGTGAGTTCTCAAAATACACCAGATCTGTTTTTGTGGGCTTCCTGAAGTTCTTGTTGGCCACTGTGAAGCCAGTGCCATCCTGGTTCATCGTCACCTGGATGGCCCCGTTGTATTTCTTCCTCAGGTAATCCCCTGTTTTTCGAAAATCTGACATTGCCAGCCAACAAGTCCTTAGTGTGCAGGAGCCGCTGACCCCGTGGCATTTGCACTCCAGCTTCAGAAAACGCTTCACAGCCTGTGGGAAGAGGGATGCTGTGAGGACCCGGTGGTCACCCTGGGCGTCAGACATCGTGCCTGGGTCTGCTTGTCCCTAGTGCAGCTTATCAGCCCTCACCGGTGTGGGATGGGGCTCTGAACGGGAGAGGGGTGCTGCGTAGGGAGGACACATTCCCGTGGTCACTGCTGCCAGCATCAGCGAGGACACGTGCTGGGGGCACTGGGTAAGCACGGTCCTGCCATCCCCACGGGGCTGTTCCCTGGGCAGGGTGTGCAGGGCAGCACTGGGAAGGCAGGGCAGTGCCCTGCCCCTGTCTGCAGCAGGACCTACCCTCCGTGAACACCCAGGGCCCCACTCCTATGCCTGGGGGGCTCTCGCTGCCCGTTCCCCTGCGGGAGGTCCCAGTGGGGTGGGTGGCCAGACACTGGGCTCAGCTGCGGGGGCTGCACTCACCATCCTCCCACAGCGGTTGTTGTGCAGGTTCATCAGCGCCCGGGCATCCTTCACTTTCTTCTCCTTGGCATCCACGAAAGCTTTGGCAAACCGGATCCCATAGTTGATGTTGTCGCTGCAGCCGCCCCAGTCGAACTCCCCGCGCTCGTCCTTGGAGCGGCCCCTCTTGAGCGGGTCGCAGCTGCAGGCCTTCAGGTACCCTTGGCTGCACGCCCGCGGGATGGCACAGACC